GAGAAACTATATGATATTTAAGCTTGTGTGTCTGATTTACTTCACTTAACATTATGGTCTCAAGGTACATCCATTTTCCTACAAATGGTAGAGTATATAAATACCACATTGTATATACTCCATTGTATATAAATACCACATTTTCTTTAACCATTTATCTGTTTATGGACATGTAGGCCTCTTCTGAGATTTAGGAATTATTAATTGTGCTGCTGTAATATGAAAACAGCACAAAAGTGATTAAAGTCCAGTCAAAGAACTTAAACCTTCACAATTTCTGGGAAATTGCAAAGTATTGGTACCAGGATAGACAGTGCAAAATAAAAGAATTCAAACCCAAACCTACATGTCTTTTTTTTTTTTTTTTGGTACTGGAAATTGAACTCAGGACCTCACGCTTACCAGGTAAGTGCTATGCCACTGAGCTACATCCCTGACCCTACATGGCTATTTTTATAACAAAAATGCCACTGGTAATCCAGGGGTTAGGCATCACGAACTTTATATCAGTGGTGTTTGGTAATTTACTATTCATATGAAAAATAATAAATCTTAATTTCTGTTCCTTACCTAACACAAAAAAATAAATTTCAGATGGATTTAAAAAGTTAAAACATACGACAATAGAGTTAGCAGAGGACTAGGTAGAATATATTCATGGCATAGGGGAAGCAAAGATTTCCTGAGCATGATGAAAGCTAATAATCATAATCAAGTAATCCAGTTGATCAATTAAACTATTAAAATCACTATTTTAGTAAATTGAAATTAATATTAAAAGATGAAAAGGTAAGTTGTAAAGCAGATGAGGATGTTTGCTCTAAATATATCAAAGAAGTTTTATCCAAAACAACTCACTATCAAGAAAATGATTGGCAGTTCTCCATGATATAAACTAATAATCATAATCAGGTAATCCAGTTGATCAATTGAGTGGTATTAAAATTACTATTTTAGTTAAATTGAAATGTAATCTTCGGAGAATGAAGAGATAAGCTGTAAAATAGATGAGATGTTTGCTCTACATGTATTGGAGTTTTTATCCAAAGTAAATAACTCACTGTCAATAAGAAAATGACTGACAACTCCGTAAAGAAAAGGATCAAAAGAGGTTCTCCAAAATGGGCTTTCAAGCATATAGGAAAGTTTTAAGGATTATTAGTCATTAGAGAAATACATATGAAAACACAATGCTACAGATCCAGGGTTGTCAAACTTTTTAAAGGGTCATATGGTAAATATGTTTGACTTCTTTGGCTGTATGGTCTTTGTTGCACCTGCTCAGCTTTGATGTTATTGGGCACAAGCAAGTAGTAATAGACAATATGGACAGTGAAGATGTCAGCACTACCTAAATTATCCATACATTTAATGCAACCTTTATCAAAATCCCAATGCTATATTTTTTTCAGAAATACAAAAATCCAATCTAAAATTCATATAGACTCTTAAGGAATCCTGAATAGCCAACATAGTATTGAAAAAGAATCTAGTTGGAGGTCTCATACTCCCTGATGTCAAAACTTCTAACAAAGCTGCAGTGATCAAAACAGAGTAGTTATAGCATAAAGGCAGAAATACACACTGATGGAATAACAGAAAACCTAAAAATAAACCCTAGCATATATGGTCAAGTAATATTTAACAACAATGTCAAGACAATTCAATAAGGGAAGAGAATAGGGTCTTTTCTTTCTTAACAAGTGGACTATGAATACTGGATATCCATAGGCAAAAGAATAAAGTTAGATTTTCACGTTATTCGTATTAAAAATTAAGATGAATCAATGATCTTGTCTTAGTTATTTTTCTTGTTGCTGAAACAAAATACCCGACACCCAAAGTTAAAGGAGGAAAGGTTTATTGTAGCTCACAGTTTGTAGAGGTTTCAGTTCATAATTGGTTGACTCTAAGGCAGGGCAGCATGGCAGAGGGGCATCACAGAGCAGGCAGGCAGAAAGCAGCAACCAGCAAGCAGTAAGCAACAAGCAACAACAGCCCTCTTTCTGTCTCTTATATTTTATCCAGGCTATCCACCCTTAGGGTGAGTAGCACTCACACCCTTAATCCTAGGACAGCACCATGAATCGATCCCTGCATCACATCCTTGATCCCAGCATCACACATCCTAGATCCAGCCACCTGTGAAAAGCCCGACTTATGACTGCATGAGTCTTTGGGTGGTCATCTAGATAAAGGCCATAACAAACTTAAATAAGAAAACTAAACTTATAAATCTCTTAGAAGGGAAAATCTTCATGTCATTAAACTTGACAAAGATTAAACTTGACAAAGATTTCTTTGGTATGACATTGAAGCACAGGCCAACAAAAATAAAAATAGTTAAGACTATATCAAAATTGAAACTATGCCTCAAACTACACAAGAGCAGAATAAAAAGATACCAATGGAATGGCAGAAAAATACATGTAAATTGTGTATCTGATAAAGTCAATATCCAGAATTATAAAGAACTCCTGCTACTCAAAAAATAAATAACCTGATTTAAAAATGAGGAAAGTTTGCATAGACATTTTTCTAAAGAATATATATAGATAATCCAAGAACATATGAAAAGTTACTTAACATCACTTATTGTAAGGAAAATGCAAATCACATGAGATAGCATCTCATACTGCTTAGGACGGCTGCTATGAAAAACAAATCAAAACAGATCATAATAAATGATAGTAAATGGAACCCTTAATGCACCTTTGGTGCAAATGTAAAGTGGTGTAGCCACTGTAAATAGCAGTATAACTTTCCTCAAAAAATTAAAAAAAGAAGTACCATATGATAAAGTACAGTACTTCCCCTGCTGAGTATATATCCAAGAGAATTGAAAGCAGGATTGCAAAAAGAATTGTCTGTACACCCATGTGCACGACAGCACTATTCACAATGGTCAGTAGGTAGAAGGAACCCAAATGTGCGTCAATGGATGAATGAGTAAACAAAATGTAACATATATATTTGCAATGGAATATTTATTCAGCCTTAAAATGAGAAAATTCAGACACATGCTCCCACATGGTTGAACTTTGATAATATTATGGTAAGTAAAATAAACCAGTCATAAAAAGATATATACGCTATGATTCCACTTATATGAAATATCTAAGAATAGTGCAATTCATAGAAATAAATTAGAATAGCAGTTATCAGGGGATAGGGGTAGGGGAAGTGGTAAGTTATATTGGATTAGAATTTCAGTTTTGCAAGATGGAAAAATTGGGGCAATTGGCTATAAATAATATAAATATACTTCACACTAGTTAACTGAACACTTGGCAGTGGTTAAGATGGTAAATTTTGTCATATTTCTAACCACAATTTTTAAACAAGGCAGTTGGCCAGATTTGACTTACTGTCCATACTTTATCAGTCTGCTTTAAGTACTACTACACACAAACAAAAACAAAACAAAACAAAAACTAACAGTGCCAAATGTTGATGAAATTCTTGAAAATCTGTTACTCTAATAGCTGTTGGTGGAAGTGAAATTAATACAATCATTTTGGAAATTTGGCAATATTGATCAAACCTGAGCATACTCATAGCCTGTAACCACTCCTAACGATGTCCTCAGGAAATGTTTATCTCTGTGTACCAAAACAGCTTATACCAAAATGCTTACTGCAGTATCATTTATATGTCAGTAACCTAAGTAACCCAAAATTTCATCAAGAGTAAAGTAGATAAACTGTAACAGGTGTATAAAATGGAGTAATACAGTAATGAAAATATACTAATACTACTACAATGCAGCAACGTGGATTAACTATACAAATATAAAAATTAGACTCAAAGTATGTACTATACATTTCTAGTTAAGTTAAAAAACAAGTAACATTACACTGATCGTATGATCAAGAGACCTGTGGAAGTTCCCAATGGCACATCTACGAAATCTGCCAGGTCAAACCTATTTTTAATAATAATATTAAGTTTTTTTGTGGGTTGCATTTTCAGTGAGTACACATAACATGTGTCATTGTAAATGAATACCAGATATGAGAAGCCAGACACGTTTTCTTAAACCAGAAATTATGTCTCCACAAAGTTTTTTTCTTGGAGGATAGTTAGGGCATGTTATTTGTGTTATTATGTAAAATGATCTAGTTATTTATTTATTTATTTTGGTACCTGAGATCGAACTCGGGTCCTCGCCCTTGCGCAGTAGTCAGTGAAACCACTGAGCTAAATCCCCGGCCCCCGATCTAGTTATTTTTAAAGAAGTAAATGTATTTTTTCCAGTTTCTCATTTTTAATTTCTGTTTTATGAAAAGCTAAAAATTTCATTAAAAAATAAGAGAATAAGAATAGTATACTGTTTATCATTGTCTTCAAACTAGTCATTCAGAGATAAGACATAAACCGAAAGATTCTTACAAAAAAAAATAAACACAACACAAAAATTTCTAATATGATAAATAAGCCACATAAACTACAGCTCTCTCAAGTTTTAATAATTTTTAAGAGTATCAAAGAGGCCTGAGACTAGAGTTTGAGAAACACTTTTAGAAGATAGGATAGTTACCTTTACATTGTAAAATGGGTTTAATGATTGAAAGCGGGCACTTAAGGACTTTACACAATGTTGGAAATATTTTTTTAAAACTCTTAGCCAAGAGTGAATAGATGTATTTATTTTATTAATTTTTTTAAAGCTGTGTACTTGAGAAATTTATGTTATATACTTATTATATACCTGTATGTGCTGTGTAAAGAAATGTTTGAAAATTGTCCTTTGATATTCTTGACTTGTCACCTGACACCAGAAATTTATTGTGTTTCCATGAGAATCCCGAACTGACTAGATGTCATCAATTTTATATCATCAAAATGTCATAGAGATGTCATCCATGTTTATGTTATCAGTTAGCAAGTTGGTTCATCTTCTGTAATAATCAGATGTATATCGTTTTGTGCTATATCCACTAAAAATCTAGAATATCCTATTAATTTATCTTCTGACAATATATTTGTTACCCTTTTAGGAAGAATCCTGTCCATTTTCAACACTTTAGCCACCCTGGTGATAGTGATTATGGAGGTATGCACGTCACAGGTCAAGATGAGACTGATGACCGGCCTGAATGTCCCTACGGGGCATCTTGTTATAGGTATGGAAACTGAAATGCTTGGCTGTACTGTCTTCCTCCCTAAGCTGTCTTATTTATCTAGGAGCAAGTATGATTCACTTCTCATCTCAAACCTTTAGTATAGTTTTTAAACTTTCATATGTTGAAAATTTGTATTTTGCTAATAGGTGGGATTATGGTTCTTTATATAATTCTAAATTGTTGAAGTTATTAATCCTATAAGTATTCAGCATTTTTCTTCATTTCTACCTTCATAAAGTACAAATCAGATAATTTCAAAGGTTCTGATACATACACTGTATTGAGATTCCTAGATATGGTGTGTAAATCCATTCAGGATGCTATTGCCCGTCTTCCCCTGCTTTCTCTTTTCCTACTTCTCCAGCATTTTATAACACTAAGTCATAAAAGAAGAGTAAGAATACCCTTCTTCGTGCTTCCATAGCATATCGGCTTCCTCTGTATCATACACAAAGTAGAACTCATTTCTTGGAATTGTATTTATTTCTTTACCACAATATCTCCCCCTCCAGGAAACAAGTATTTTGAAAGCAAGAACGTCTATCCTTGGTATCTTGCAATTTTGTTTAGTTAATGAATGAAATTGAATTGAAACAAACTAAGAAAGAAAGCAGCACTGATTCCATTTTAGTGTATTAAGGCCAGATAGCCTTCTTTCTTAGGTAATTTTGAATACAGGTCACTGAACCTACTGAAGTTGTTGGTATTTCAATGATTGTGGTTTTCAGTAAGCAAAATAATCTTATGAGATTGGAAAGAAAAATTAAAAGACTTATACCTTATCATTTGAAAAATAAGTATTCCATTCCAGAAAAAGAACATTCTGTAGATAAGAGGATATTATGATCAACTTTCCCAGTAAACTTTAAAATTTAGAAAAATGTGCAAATTCCTAGAAAAATACAAATATAAGAGACATGTAAAAAAACAGAAAATGAAAAAAGATCCTGTAACGTTAGAGAAACTTAATAAATAATTAAAAGCTTTCTGAAGAAATTATAGATCTATTTGGTTTTACTGGCAAATTCTACCAAATATGTAAAGAAACTCAAGCTTTACATGAACTATTCCAAAGAAGACAAACGAGAGTATATTTCCCAGCTCATATTATGAGTTTATATCAAAATCTACCAAGAATAACACAAGGATGAAAAATTACATAGCTTACTTTTGAATATAGTTACAAGTATCCTGAGAAAAGACTAATAAATGTGAAGCAATAAATAAAAAGGAAAATATAATATGACTAAATGGAGCTTATCTTAGGGATACATGTTTTATTAATATTAAAATAATATAATTCATCATGTCATCAGAATAAATATAAAATTATGTAGCCAATAGATGGCTAAAAAAAAACCTCGACAAAAGTCAGCATTAATTTATGGTTAAAATTCACTACAAAATAAAATTGGAAGAGAATGTCTTTAAAAGATATCTCCAAAAAACTTCTAGCAAATATCATACAAAGAAAAATATTAAAAATTTTCTTTCTGAAATAAAAAATAGGACAATAATGCCTTTTATCAGTAGTACTTCGTTTGTTAATGAAATGAAGATTCAAAACAGTGTAGTAAGACAAAGGAAAATAGATAAAGATTGAAAACTAAAAAATAAAAAAGTGATCACAAATGGCATTATGGTATACATAAGAAAGACAAAATAGCCTACTGATGAGTTATAAATAGTAATAAATGCTTAGCAAGGTTTCTGGATACAAAAAATCAGTATACAAAATCAATTGTATTTCTATACAACAATGCCAATCAGTTAGAAAATAAAAATTTGTAAAGATAATATTTATAGCATCATCACAAGTATCAAGTTCTTTTTTTTGAGACAGGATCTCACTATTAGTTCAGGCTGGCCTTGGACTCACTATGTAGTGCATGCTGGCCTCAAACTCATGGCAATCCTCCTGCCTCAGCCTCCCAAGTGCTGGGATAACAGGACAAGTATCAAGTTCCTAGGAATAAATATAATAAAAAGCATGAAAACTTAGAGAAAAAAAATTTCATAAAGACCTAAGTAATTATAAAGATGGATATGTTCACGATTCAACAAGTCAGTATTGTTAAATTATCAATTTCCCTCAAATTGATTTGTGTGCACATCCATTCAGAATCATACTACCTTTTGTGTAGAAATTTAGAGTGTGATTCTCAAATTTATATGGATATGCAGGAGACAGAAATAGTCATTGTAACCTTAAATAATGAAGAACAGGTGGCAGGACTTGTTATACCTTATGGTAATTAAAACAGTGTGATGTGGGCACAAAGATGAGGTAAAAAGACTGGAACTGAATAGATCCAGAAACAGACAAAACAGTATGGCTTTAAAGATAAATAAAAAGGGATTGTTTCATGGATCCCAGAGCAGGGATTATTTCCTAAAATAAGATAGATAATGCAGTAATTAAAATGGGAACACTCAATTATTTGACTATGAAAATTAAGATATTTTTAATTTATCAGCAGACAATATTAAGAGAGTGAAAAACCACAAGGTGAGATTAGTATTTGCAGCTCACATTTCTGACAGTAGAGTATGTATATCCAGACATATGAAAAGATATTTCAAATTGTCATTGCTCTTTGGTTAGTGACATATACAAGCTTTTTCCCCTAAAGAAAATCCAAATAGTGAACAAACATGTGAAAAATATACAATATCATTAGTAATCAGGGAAGTTACACACACAAACACACAATCTACCCTGAATACCTTCTTTATTTCTTATTTGTTCCTTTAACAAGATACCTTCTCTTTAGAGAGTCTTTGCCCCTGAAATGCAATGTGAGTGGGAGGTTTCATACTGACTGACTTTGAAATTTTAAAACCAGACCTTTAGCTTCTCACATATCCTAAGAGCTCAACAAATATTTGTTAGGAAAAATGTTTTGTGTATGGGAGTCCTTTAATTTCCAAACTGCTATGACACTCCATTGAGAGCATAAAAACCTTTTCTAGTTTCTCTGTCTTCAAATATAGTTTTTCTGTTTGGGCTCGAATGCCATCCTTAACCCACAGCATAAATTGACAACTGCCTTTAGGAAAGAAAACAGGTAGTGATTACCAAGTCACATAGGTAGGGCTTTTTTTAGTTCTGAAATTGTAGATAACCAGAAATTCTCATTGCTCCCATAATTCTGTCATATAAGTAACTTTTACAGTTTGACAGGGGTTTTCCTAGTTGTTAAAACAAGAATATTGTTCCACCAAGTGCCCTACATCTGTTCCAGAAGCAAAATACAAATAAGTCTGCTCTTGAATAGAATGAAAATAAAGTACAGAGACTTGCTAAGATTAAGTCCACCAAAAACTGCTATCTCTATGGGATCAATCTCTTTAAAAGACACCAGAATAGGGAGAAGTGAAGAAAAGTTACTCCCAAGCCAGCAGCCGGCATGTACTAGGCAAACTGTAATATCTCTATCTAAAAGTACATGTATATAGGTGTGATTTTTTTTTTAATTTGTTGAGCTACCTTGCAGCCTGATTCTAGTTGCAGATAAAAATTTAAGGTTTTTCCTTTTGCTAATTTTAATTGTGGTGTCCAGAGAGACTTTTTAGAAAATGTGAAGTACAATTGCTTATTCTGCCTGCTGTTTTAAAAATAAGCAAATGGCAACTAGATAGATTGAGCTGCCTAAGATTAAAGCTAGTATGATCAGAACCACATCTTTTCCCTTGTCCTGTTCAAAATTTCTCCATAGCCTTGCCTGACCACTGGTACTCATGTGTTTCTAAGTATTAATGATGCTCTCCACCATGTACTGGGGCCTGAACCCAGGGCCTTCATGCTGGGCTACATCCTAATCCCTTTTTAAATTTTTTCTTTTTTACAGAGAGTCTTGCTATATCACTAAGTTTCCTAGGCTGAGCTTGAACTTGCAATCCACCTGCCTCAGCCTCCCAGAGTTCTGGGATTATAGGTGTACACTACCATGTCTGGCTGGTTATTGTCTTCTTAACTAAATAACAAAATACTATTTTGTATTGAAAAGAAAGAAGAGAAAACCTCCAGATAAGATATTTTCAAGAAATCATGAATGTCCTAGGTCAACAAGATAGAGTACTAAAAACCTAGTTGCAGGAGCATAATACATATTTATATACCTTCTCTTGTCACATTGTCATTTTTAGTTAGGCAGATAAATAAGTCCAATAGATTTATATTGTATCATTGCTAAACTGAACCAATGTTATATTATGATCAACCTATTCTTTATTGAGCTTTGGAATATTTTATTAGCTATATACTATTTTGTGGTAGAAAATAAGCCTACTTTATCAGAATGATAAAAATGTTCTAATTTAGTTTGCTTTCAGGCAAGTTTTCATGTATATATATCCAGCTTTTTTCTATAGCCACAGAAGAAAAGTACTGACATTTCACAAATCAAATCACCCACCAAAATCAACAAAAAATTATTACATTTACAAAAGTAGAAAAATATATATTCCAAAAGTAGGGTTGTGCGAAGCTTGTTTTCCATGATGGATGATATTTGGAAGGAGAATGAAATTCATGAGCTGCAACATGTTTTTTTTTCCGCAAATAAAAAAATTTCTTCACAAAATAAATTAAGAATTATTCTCAGTAAAACTAATTTCAAATGAAATGCTGTGTTTATTTTTTACTTTTTGCTTCCCAGTCTTATATTTTAGTCACTTGAATGTGTGCAAGTCACTTTCTCTTTTTGATATATCTAGATGATCTCAGATGTTGCCTACCATGTTAAAGATTAGTCAACATGCCACCTTCTTAAGTTTAAAGGGTATTTTATTGTATTTCCAAGTATTGTCATACAGGGGCAAAGTGTTATCACTGCATAGAGCAAATGTGTAAGTACAGGATTGCACATGTATGGGTATGTTTCATTTTCAGCCATTCCATCTCACTAGTAAAACTGGGAAAAATAAATATTGATCACATATATAAGTGCATATTATAGTAAAAATACAGATTTCCACAGCTCCATTAATGTAGAATA